GAAAAAAGTAAGACAAAAAACATGATTTTGTTTATCTGTTTATCTAGCACAGTAAGATTTATATAAACTAATGATCCATAACCCGAATTCACTTTAAATTTTACAACATGCATGAGTTAAAAAATGTTTCCATCATACAAAACAGTGGCTTATGGTGGGAAGGGAGATGGGTAATGGGAAAGAGAGAAAAGGGGATATTATCACAAAAATAAAATAAGAGAGAATCTTCACCCACATTCATAGTTGCATTGTGTCCTAAACTGAAGACAATGATTAAACTCAAACCTCATCAGGTGAAATATAAAAATAAAGCAATGACAAAAACAAACAAGGCTGGGCACGGTGGCTCACACCTGTAATCCCAGCACTTTGGGAGGCTGAGGTAGGCGGATTGCCTGAGGTCAAGAGTTCAAGACCAGCCTGGCCAACATGGTGAAACCCAGTCTCTACTAAAAATACAAATTTTACCCAGGCATGGTGGCACACGCCTGTAATCTCAGCTACTCGGGAGTCTTAGGCAAGAAAGTCACTTGAACCTGAGAGGTGGAGATTGCAGTGAGCCAAGATTGTGCCACTGCACTCCAGCCTTGGCGACAGAGAGAGACTCCACCTCAAAAAAATGAACAAACAAACAAGCCCAACTAGACAGAGAGACCCTAACACTGTGGAATTGCTCAAGCAGTATCAGAAGAAAATGTCAGAAATGGTGATTAATCATGTCATGTCAAACAAAGCAGAGAGGTATTCCCAAAGATGAAGTGACAATGATTCCCAAGTTATCAGCTAGAGGAAAGGCCTGAAGGACTGGGAAGAGGTGAGAAATCTCATGGCCATTCCTATAGCAAAAAGAGGTAGAGAGCTTGATTAGAGATAAAGTTCTTTTTTTTTTTTTTTTCCAGACAGAGTCTTGCTCTGTCACCCAGGATGGAGTGCAGTAGTATGATCTCAGCTCATGGCAACCTCCACTTCCCAGGTCCAAGTGATTCTTGTGCTTCAGCCTCCCAAGCAGCTGGGAATACAAGCATGCATCACCACGCCCAGCTAATTTTTGTATTTTTAGGAGACATGGGGTTCTGTCATGTTGTCCAGGCTGGTCTCAAACTCTTGACCTCACTCCTCTCTGCTGAAATCTATAGCCACATCCCTGAAGGACACTGATCCCACCTTGGCCTCCCAAAGTGCTGGGATTACAGGCATGAGCCACCACACCTGGCCCAGTGATAAAGTTCTGAGGCATCTCACAGTGAGAAACAGAAATAAAAGTGGTCTAGCAGGAGTGGGAATGTGTGACACAGAGTAATTTTGAAAGAAAGCAGATCCAGGAATGCCTGGATGTGAAGGAGGGTCTCTGGGACAATATGGAAGGTAGGGAAAAAAAAAGAATGTTAGAGAAAAGGAGGATAACAAAGATAGATCTTTAATGAGGCCGACTGGCACATGACTTAGAATCTACAAGGAAGGACACAGAAATGCAAAGGTCATCCAGGTAGAAGTCATTTAGTGATCTGAGAGGCATCAAGCAATACAAAGAAATTTAGAAACTTCCTGAAGAGTAGTCTTAATAGTACTTTACAGTTCCAGGGTTTTTGTTTGTTTGTTTATTTGTTTTTTGAGACGGAGTCTCACTCTGTTGCCCAGGCTGGAGTGCAGTGGTACGATCTCGGCTCACTGCAACCTCCTCCTCCCAGGTTCAAGTGACTCTCCTGACTCAGCCTCCTGAGTAGCTGGGATTACAATAATGTACCCTCATTCAGGGCTAATTTTTTTTGTTGTTGTATTTTTAGTAGAGCCAAGGTTTCATCATGTTGGTCAGGCTGGTCTCAAACTCCTGACCTCATGATTTACCCACCTCAGCCTCCCAAAGTGCTGGGATTACAGGTGTGAACCATAGCGAGTGGCCTGGTTCCAGTGTTTTTCAAGACAGCTGAGATTTCCTCCCATCTCCCATCTACTCGAGTCATGCTCATTTCACTCACCTGGGCAGCTGTGATGTGGCCTCTCACCCTGCAATATCCATGGTTCCTTTCCTTGCTCCAACATGACCACCTCTGGTTTAGGAAATTGATACCCTGTTCATGGGAAATGATAAGGTCTGGGTCAAGCTAATTGTGTTTCAGAGCCCACTTAATAAAGTCTTATTGTTCAATGAGGGTTTGTTCTTCAGAAAAGTGAGCAGATATCTCTGATAAAAGAGTAATATTCTGAGTGGCCTAAACAAATAGAGAACCCTGGAGAAATAAAGGACAAAACCGTCAGTTATTTAAGATGCTGTCAGCATTCAGAATGGAATGGAATGAGAATGGAAGCACTCTCAGTGAGGCCTCCTTTCAGATACCAAGGTGACTGCGCTTACCGACTGAGAGCAGGTGGCTGTAGGTCTCCAGCATCACATCCCGGTACAGGTTTCTCTGAGACGGGTCTAGGTGCCTCCACTCCTCTCTGCTGAAATCTATAGCCACATCCCTGAAGGACACTGATCCCTGTAAGGGCACATTCCTGTTCAATGTGCATAGTCAGCTCTGCAGGGTGGAGTGACTATATCTGGGATTACGAAACATGGGTTTTGTTGTTTTTAATTCCTTTTTTTTTTTTTTGGAGATGGCATTTCACTCTTTTTGTCCAGGCTGGAGTGCAATAGCATGATCTCGATTCACTGCAACTTCTGCTTCCCAGATTCAAGCAATTCTCCTGCCTCAGCCTCCAGAGTAGCTGAGATTACAGGTATATACCACCATGCCCAGCTAATTTTTGTATTTTTAGTAAAGACTGGGTTTCACCATGTTGGCCAGGCTGGTCTCGAACTCCTGACCTCAGGTGATCCGCCTTCCTAAGCCTCCCAAAATGCTGGGATTACAGGTGTGAGCCACTGTGCATGGCCAATTTACCTCCCTTTTTTAAGAACCTGCCTTTTTGTTCTCACTTCAGACGTGAGAAGATAAAAAAAATTTTTTTAAACAAAAGAAAAAAAAAACTTAAAAAAAAAGAACCTGCCTCCCATTTGTCTAATGGCTTATTATGAAAAATTTTAAACATACGGAAAATTAGAATTGTACAGTAAAAACCTATACATCCACTACTTAGATCTACCATTAACACCTTACTCACTTCATCACACGTTGAGCCCATCTTACTTTTTTTTTTAATGTATTTCAAAGTAATCTATAGACATCACTACACTTTCTCTTAAGCACCACAAAATGCAAATAATTAACTAGGGTGTAACGTTTGTTAACTTAATAAGGTAAAATTTAATACAATACAATTAAATGCAACAATCTTTATTGTACCATTTGACGTTCTGACAAATGTATGCATCTGAGTAATACGAAATTTCCAAGATATTGTATTTTACACAAGCCACATATTAAGTATCCAGTTTAGCCAGGCGCAGTGGCTCACGCCTATAATCGAAGCAAGAATGTTAGAGAGGGCCAGATGCAGTGGCTCATGCCTGTAATCCCAGCACTTTGGGAGGCCAAGGTGGGTGGATCACCTGAGGTTTGGTGTTTAAGACCAGCCTGGCCAACATGGTGAAACGCCATCTCTATTAAAAATACAAAAAGTTAGCCAGGCCTGGTGACATATGCCTGTAGTCACAGCTACTTAGGAGGCTGAAGTGGGAGAACTGCGTGAACCCAGGAGGTGGAGGTTGCATTAAGCTGAGATTGTGCCACTGCACTCCAGCCTGGGTGACAGAGCAAGACTCCATCTCAAAAGATGTATATATATAGTTTTACATAATTTGTGCTACACAGAAATCTAATAATGAATTCCAGCTATTTGTTCTGTTCTACAGTCAATTACTCATTTTTCAAAACTGGCCATTGAAATAGGCTTTTAGTCTTCTAGCACATGGATGAGCAACCTGCTATACAGTTGCTGATCAATTTAGGACTGCTCATTATGCTAGTCCCAAGGACATAAAAATGAATTATTATTATTATTATTATTATTTTTTTTTTTTTGAGACGGAGTTTCACTCTTGTTACCCAGGCTGGAGTGCAATGGCACGATCTTGGCTCACCGCAACCTCCGCCTCCCGGGTTCAGGCAATTCTCCTGCCTCAACCTCCTGAGTAGCTGGGATTACAGGCACATGCCACCATGCCCAGCTAATTTTTTGTAGTTTTAGTAGAGACGGGGTTTCACCGTGTTGACCAGGATGGTCTCGATCTCTTGACCTTGTGATCCAGCCGCCTCGGCCTCCCAAAGTGCTGGGATTACAGGCTTGAGCCACCGCGCCCGGCCTATTATTATTATTTTTGAGACACAGTCTCGCTCTGTTGCCCATGCTGGAGTGCAGTGGCATGATCTCAGCTCACTGCAACCTCCACCTTACAGGTTCAAGTGATTCTCCTGCCTAAGCCTCCTGAGTAGCTGGGACTACAGGCAAGCCCCAGCACACCCAGCTAATTTTTGTATTTTTAGTAGAGATGGGATTTCACCATGTTGGCTAGGATGGTTTCAATCTCTTGACCTTGTGATCCACCCACCTTGGCCTCCCAAAGTGCTGGGATTACAGGCATGAGCCACCATGCCCAGCCAGAAATGAATTCTTTATGTTACTAGTCTTCAAGCAACCTAAAAGACATAGAAAATAAAGAAGACCAAAGTTCAAAAACAGGAAGACATGAAGTTCATTAAGGTGTTGAAAAGTAGATCTCTCTCTGAGACACCCTGAGGGCCAAAAAGAAGAAAAAGTGCATCTACATGAGGGGTTAAGTTTACATTTCACAGAATGGAAGAATTTAACTTGGAAGATAAGAAGAGTAATACAGAGTATGGGGTAAGGGGGACATTGCACAGCAAAGACAAGAACAATGATGGAGAGATGGGCTCCAGTGAGCCATGACTGCAACACTGCACTCCAGCCTGGGTGACAAAGGGAGACCCTGTCTCAAAAAAATAAGTAAGGCCAGGCGTGGTGGCTCACACCTGTAATCCCAGCACTTTGGGAGGCCGAGGCGGGTGGATCACCTGAGGTGAGGAGTTCAAGACCAGCCTGGCCAACATGATGAAACTCCGTCTCTACTAAAAATACAAAAAATTAGCCAGGCATGGTAGCAGGCACCTATAATCCCAGCTATTCAGGAGGCGGAGGTAGAAGAATCGCTTGAACCCAGGAGGCAGAGGTTGCAGTGAGCCGAGATCACGTCACTACATTCTAGCCTGGGTAACAGAGCAAGACTCCATCTCGAAAATAAATAAATAAATATTAAAATACACAATGAGTTTAAGGAATAGCAAATAGGTCTACATAGGGACAGAAGTCTACATGATGTGTCAGAAAGGTGGTTGTAGGAAAAACAGTCTGATCACAGTTAACTATGGATTTTTTACTTTAAATAAAGGTAACTAAATGAGATTTCTTTCTAAAATTTTTTTCTATGGGATCTGTACTGCATGATAACCAACCAATTAATAAGGAAAATATCTTTACAGAATGATTCCAGCTGAGAAATAAAGTTAAAATAAAAATGCCATGTACAATTACTAATGAAATAATGGACTTAGACAATAATCATTAATGGCTGCTCAAGTGTTTCAGTTGAAAGGCTGAAGGGAAGTTGATAATGCATGGATCAGCTAATACCATCAGCATCCACAAACCCGGTATCATGCAGCTGCTGATGTAACGTAGTAATTAGTTTCATTACACCATCTATGAAGTATTCTTGCCAAAAAGTGAAATTTAAACTGAATGTCATCAAGTCTCCAGATCTAATAAACCATTCACAGGCAATGGGAAGGAGAGTGGAACATAATGAACGATATGAAGACCAAGACATCAGCTAACTCCAGAAGGCAGCAAATGACTCATTTCTTCAAAAATCAATTTTAAGAGAAAGAACATGAAGGGGAAGCTTCTCTTTATTAAAAGAGGCCTAAGGCCAGGGGCAGGGGCTCACACTTATAATGACAGTATTTTGGGAGGCCAAGGTGGGTGGACTGCTTGAGCCTAAGAGTTTGAGACCAGCCAGGGCCACACAGTAAGACCCTGTTTCTAAAAACTATACCAAAAAAATCAGCCATGCCTGGTGGCAGCTACTCAGGAGGCTGAGGTAGGAGGATCGACTGAGTCCAGGAGGTCGAGGCTCAAGTGAGCCATGGTCTCACCACTGCACTCCAGCCTGGGTGACAAAGCGAGACCCTGTCTCAAAAATAAATAAATAAATAAATATTAAAAAGTAAGAGCTTTAAGAGACATATTAACCAAATGCACCTTGTGAACTTTGCCTCCTAATTAAAATGAACCAATCTTAAAAAGATATTTATGACAATTTAGAGACATGCAAGCAATAGACATTAGATGATAACAAGGAATTACTGTTATTTTGTTGTAGGTGTGATATTGGCTTACTTGTTATGCTAAACAAAATTTTTTAAAAAGGGCTGGGTGTGATGGCTCATGCCTGTAATCCCAGCACTTTGGGAGGCCGAGGTGGGCGGATCACCTGAGGTGGGGAGTTCAAGACCAGCCTGACCAACATGGAGAAATTCCATCTCTACTAAAAATATAAAATTAGCTGGGTGTGGTGGCGCATGTCTGTAATCCCAGCTACTCGGAAGGCTGAGGCAGGAGAATCGCTTGAACCTGGGAGGTGGAGGGTGCAATGAGCCAAGATCATCACACCATTGCATTCCAGCCTGGGCAAAAAGAGTCAAACTTTGTCTCAAAAAAAAAAAAAAAAAAAAAGGAAAAGAAAAGAAAAAAAGAGTATCTCTGAGATACATATCAAAGTTTTTTTTTTTTTTTGAGACAGAGTCTTACTCTGTCGCCAGGCACCAGGGCTGGAGGGCAGTGGCGCAATTTCAGCTCACTGCAATCTCCGCCTCCTGGGTTCAAGCAATTCTCCTGCCTCAGCCTCCCGAGTAGCTGGGGCTATAGGCACACGCCACCATTCCCAGCTAATTTTTGTATTTTTTAGTAGAGACGGGGTTTCACCATGTTGGCCAGGATGGTCTCCATCTCTTGACCTCGTGATCCGTCCACCTCGGCCTCCCAAAGTGCTGGGATTACAGGCGTGAGCCACCGCGCCCAGCCAAAGTATTTTTAGATAAAATATTGTATTTGAAGGCCGGGCGCGGTGGCTCACGCCTGTAATCCCAGCACTTTGGGAGGCCGGGGCGGGTGGATCACGAG